AGCCTGAATCCCTGTGCTCAATCCACTGGCCCTGATCCTCTGACTGCCATCCTGCCTCTGAGAACATCTCACAAAGGAAAAGGAATTCTTATAACCACTGGCTTGAAGAAGGATGGAAAAGTCAGGGAATAATTCTCTTAATTGACTACTCTTCTTACTACTTGTAATCTAGAGGAAATCTAATTAATTCTACATGAAGAACCACTATTCTGTGGTGAAGTGTAATTCCTGATCTCTGGGGCTTCAGCTTACCAGTTGTCAAATTATCCAATTACACACTTGTTAAAATCCATTTTGGGGGGATTTTCATGGCTCATAAATAAATAATTTCAAAACCTTAAATCCCCAGGAGAAAAAAAAAAGGAAAAAAAAAAAAAAAAAGGAAGCCCCCAGCCATCAAACTGTACCTCAAAATTAGGAAGAACATCAAAAAATAATGTCAAGAAGCTGCAGAGAGAGATGCCAGCCTGGTGTGCCCCAGCAGCAGCACAGAGGTGATGATCTATTTCAGCAGGGAGAAATGCTCTGCCTCTCTTCTGCAATGCTGCATTCAAATCACTCATCTGAAGGGAACCAATTAATGCAGCATCCCTTCATTACGCCAAAAGGGAACAATCTTTCCATAAGCACGCCAGTTACAGCTGGGAGGCCAAGGGAGAGCTGAGCCCAGGCAAGGACAGGGCTGCTCTGGAGCCCACAGCTGGAATCGCACAGCTGGAATTGCACAGCTGGAATCCTGCTGCTCCCCACAGCTGGAGCCCCACAGCTGGAATCACACAGCTGGAATCGCACAGCTGGAATCGCACAGCTGGAATCCTGCTGCTCCCCACAGCTGGAACCCACAGCTGGAACCGCACAGCTGGATCCCTGTTGTTCCCCACAGCTGCTCCCCACAGCATTTCTACTCAAAATGAGGTCCCTTTCAGCTGGCTGAAATTGGCTCCACAAAAATTATCAAATTACAAAATAATTACAAGACCATCACACTGAAAATTCAATTCACCACCAAATTGTTTCTGTTTTAAACTCAGAACATTTGTAGTAACAGTGGTTTTACAGCAGTGTGAAAACAGGCCAGCACTTCTAAATCTTGTGTCCAGAGGAGGGACAGGTTCTGGTGAAACCTGCTCTAAATTCACATCTGCCGTGTTTTCCTGGTCCTTCTACATTTCACAGCTCCAGAGCAACACAGAGATTGTCAGGGTGAAGGATTGGGCTTGTCTCAAACCCTGTTCAGTCTAATCAAAGAAAACACATGTAACTCACACTTCAGAAAGAGCAGCTCTTATGCAAAGCCATTTTTCTTAGGCAAGGGTAATTGCTAAGGAAAATACGCCCCTGTGCTTGTTCCTGCTTCTCTGGGGGCCCCATCCCCAGTCCCACACCGAAGGGTGGCTGTCAGCAGCTGTGCCAGCAGCAGCCCCAGCCCTCATCCCTCAGTGCCCCCTGACAGAGCTGGGCTGCTGCTGCTGTTCCAGGTGATCACAGCATCACTCAGCCCCCGTGCAGCTCCAGGGACAAACCTGACATTCCAACCTCCTGTCCTCAGCAACAGCTCCACAGGATGCCTGTGGTGGGGGGGCAGAGACAGGATGGACTGAAGGAGATCTGCCCATGGCTGTCACTGCCTGGGGTGTGAGGAGCCAGCCACACGTGTGTGTGTGTGTGTGTGTGTGTGTGTGCTGCACTGAGCAGGGATTCCTGCAGTGCACAGTGCTTCCTTCACACAGCAGTGATTCCTGCACTGCACGCTCCACACAGCACCACAAGGTCTGGCTGTGCAGGGACAGAATGCTCAGGACCCCAGGGTGGTCATTAATCTGCAGGGAAACACCCAAAGAGGGTGGCATTTGTTGGACTGGACATGGATGTGCTCCACTGCCAGGGGCCCGCACTCCTCATCCCACCCTGCACACAAACCAAAGCCAGGGCTGCTGGGCACAGCTGGCACTGCCACAGTGCTGAGCCATCACTGGGGGAATGGCAACTCTGGTTTGTGGTGTGACATCTGAAGTCCTTGACCTGCCTAATTTCAGGAAGCAATAGAATATATTTCTGAAAAGAAAGTGGTTGCTGGCAATGTCACAGTGATCCAACGGCTCCTCCCTTTCTTAGGAGTAGATTTCATCCATGATTCACTAATCATTTTGATTTAAAAAGGCTCCTTTTCAGCACTGGGTAACATTTTAATTAAATATTTGAAAACTTGCCGACTACTGTAATTGCAATTTAAAAGCTATGAATTAGGAAGGTAAAAGCTTTTATCTACTCTCCAGACATCTCTTTCTTTTTCATAAAGCTGTCAGTGAAGTCTTTAGGAACATTCCCTCATTGAATTTGAGTGGGACAGAGGGTTTGGCTGACGTGATCCTGCACTGCTCAGCTGCCAGGCAGAGCCCAGGCTGCTCCCAGCCAAACAGATCCCCCAAAATCAATCTGTTCGTTTATATCCCTGCCAAGGGGGAGCCTCAGCTTTCAGAAAAGCCCAAATTTCACCCCAAAGCACCCTGGGTGTCAGCTCAGAGGGTGGGTGGGGAGAGGAGGCTGAACAGCCCCAGATTCCCACTGGGAACTGTGGTAGCCAAGCCTGAAAGCACCCCCAGTCTCCAGCAGAACATGAACTATTTACCAATGAAATATGTCAGGCACAGGTATTTATAGGGCATTAATGCCCTGGGAATTTATAGAATCCATCAGAGCCAGCCACTGCCATGACAGCTGATCCCTGTAATTATTAGAAATAATTATAGTACAAATAAAGTTTCCTTTATAATAAATAGCCTCTTTACTGCCACAACTGATTTTATTTATTTACTTGGTCTGCTTATCCAGCTTCTCATGCTGATGGTAAGTAGAACAGTTTACTTGCTGTCAACATATTCATTAAAGTTTTAAAAAGAACATCGGGAGCAGGTTGAAACAATGGCACACATGAAATTACATGTTCTGCTATAAAGACCAGTAAAAAACCAACCCAAATTATTCCTGTCTCCAAAACCAACGAAATAACATAACACATTATTTCCATTGTGCTTCTTTCTAAATGGAAGAGGAGAAATTATTTTTAAATTTCACTTTAATTTGCAAATGCCAAGCCAGCTTTGCAAGGAGCACAGGGAAAACTGAAGTACCAAACTAATCAAAGTTGGGCGCCCAAAGGGCTGCACGTGAATCATCATTTCCTGAGCACAAAGTGAAGCAGGACAAAGACCTGGAGGTTGGGAATCCCCAGAGCTCCCTCCCTGGCGCTCCAGTGCAGAGGAGGGTTTCTGTGCCCAGCCTGTTGGGATCCAGGGACTCTGCCATTTGTCTGTGCCCCCTCTCCTCCCACCGTGCCCACACCTGCTGCAAATGCCACCTCCTGCCAGCTCTACAGGCTGCAGGTGACCTTTGAGCACACAGCTCTGGGCTGCTGCAGAATGGCTTTTCTTCATCTTTAATGGAAATTAAGAGAGTGAGCTGATTTGTAGCAGCTGCCAGCAGCAGCTATTTTTGTTCTCAGAGCTATATTTTGCCACTATATCACTTGATAATAAAGCAATCACGGCTCGTGGGCACACCTGAGGAGAACTCGGCTTTCCTGGGACCACTGGGGAGGAAACCTTTTATCTTTTCAATTATGTATGGAGAGAACAGAACCCCCAGCATCTCACATTACATCAGTCCCACAGCCTTAACCCCAGCAGAACCCGTGTGGCTGCACTGCAGGGCTGCACTGATGCCCCAGCCCAGGATGTCTGGAGAGCCTCTTCCCTCCCAGCACAGCAGCAGAGGCTCCCCAGGGCTCAGCAGGAGGAAGCAGCCATGCAAAGGGTGGCACAACTCCATTTGTGAGCCACCAGGGAGAAAACGGGGGCTTGGTAAAATAAAGAACCACAGCATCTCAGTGGTTGCAGTTGGTAAATACAAATAACAAGAGCAGCCAGTTCTGGGAGTCTCAAAGTGCAGAGAACACCTCCAGTCCTCAGTAATGGCATAATTAACTTGCTATCACCAGGCAAACATCCAGGTTACATTTTTTTAAATGCTTTGAGATTGATTTTTGGTTTTCTTTCAGCACTAAATAATAATGTGTCAATATTTTCTAACAGATTGCCTGAGAACAGAAATGAGGCACAGCCAGACCTTACACAAGTGTGCTTCATCTCCAACAACACAGAAATGTGAAACGGACAGCAGAGGAAATGCAGAGATTTCTGATTGTACTTGAAACTTGGGTATCTAACAGGCATTTTTAGGTAAAAACAAGGCTGAAGGATCAGGCCATTTTCAAGTCCTGTGGTTTCCACTGTGACCATGGGGTGCCTGTTTGAATGCATTTCTGTGGAACAGACAGCTGGCTACACACTGCATTTTGTGCTCCCCACTAATTCAAATTAATCAAGCTCATGCCACTCCTTTCATTTCTTCTCTCACTCTCAAATGGTCATGGAGTCAGGATTCAGTGGCAATGCTGTCTCTCAGGATTATTGTGTCCCAGCCCAAGGTAAGAGCACTCAGATCAGAGATGCACCACGATGGAGGAGTGCCTGAGCACACCTGGTGCTGC